GACAGGGCCTGCAAAGAGCCCTGAGCGAGGGGAAGGTCGGGATTACTGCAGGAGCTGCTGGGAACTCAATTAAAAACCCAACGGAAAAAGGGACCCGAAGGAAAGGCGCTGCCACGCAGACCAAGGGACGAGTCTCCCGCTCTGACCTTTTTTCTCCCTCCTTTGGGATGAGTTTTGGTTAGGCAGGGCCTGCACCCGTGCAGGGTGGGATGGCGAGCRGGGAGCAGAGGAGCCGAGCGCTTTGCCTGGCTCACCGCGAGGCAGGGGGAGCTGCGGGTGGGAAGGAGGGCGAAAAAGGGGGAGATCTTTTAAAAATACCCCCATTGACGACTTATACACCAGGAACAAAAGGGCTCCCAGGGTTAGGATGAGCTCTTTCATTAGCAACTTCCAGGTACAGGGATTTAAGAAGCGCGTCCTTCTTCCTCATCAGATGCTCTGAGCCCCCGATTGGGCAGCGATAGCAATGCTCATAACGAGAGAGGATCCTGAAAAGAACCGGATGGATAAATACTGAAAAGCAACGGGAGATATTCAGAGTCTAGTTGGAAGTGGAATCATTTTTATTCCATCTTATTAATTCTTCTTCATTCTGAGTTGTTAAAATCATCTATTTTGCATCCTTCCGACTAAAAAATTTCACCCAGAAAATCCCGTCACTCCAATAACCTTATTGTTCCAAAGGCCAATTTAAGCACATCAGTTAACATGCAACTGAAAGACTGATAGGTTAGAGAATTTCTAGTTCAGTCTTGGTGGGTTTTTGTTTTTGTCTTTCCTCTAAAATCCGCTTCCCTGGCCAGGCCCGTGCTTCATTTTCACGTGGTGCTGCAGAGGGCAGGTCCTGCCCCGAGAACGCGTTTGCTCAAGGTGACAGACAGAAGATGGAAAATCCTGACACTAAACCTGGCTGGAACTAGAACATCCCAAAGCTCACGAGCACGATCGAGTTTAAGCACAGGAAATAGCACGGAGGACAGAATTCCAGAGGGATCCTGGCACTGGACACAGAAGCAATTTATCTAAGGAGAACTCACATCATGAACGGGAGCTACCACATCTGAAGCAGGAGAAGAACTCAGGATTTAGTGTGTTGAAGCATCGGTGACGCCGGTCGGTCACCCACGGCCACGAGCTGAATTCACGCGGTGCACGGAAGGGCAATAGGAGAGACACGAAACGAAGAACCTGGCTAGGAAGAGGGCACCAGAAGACACCAAAAGACACCAAAAAGGTGTCTTTAATGCAGTGCAGTGAAGGCTGAAAGGGCTCGTGACCGAGGTCCACACAAGTCCACCACAGGGAAAGCAGCAAAGAGCCAGGTAACAGGAAAGGCGTTTTTCACGAGTAAAGATCATGAGCACAAGGAACTAGCAAGTGCAAATTTAGCCTAGCAAAAAGCTTTCTTAGCACTCAAGAAGCAGCGTTCTGGACAAATCCCAGCAGGAGAAAGGTGACTGTGTGCGCCCGGCGGGAGCCTACCTGTGTCCTGGAGGAGAGCCCGGCACCTGCTCCTGGGGACGGCAGGAGACTCGGCCTCGCTGCTTACCCAAGTCTGGGTTATCTTGTCCTTAACTGCCAGCTCTATGCTCCCAAACCCTGGTTTTCCTTTTCCTTTTTGTGGGGGGAGGCAGGAGGGACTGTTCCAGTTCTTGCTCTCTRCTCTTTAGCTTGCAGGGAGAGGCCAGTTTTGAAAAGCATGCAAACGCTCAAGTCCTATTCATTTCTACAAGCACTATTTTAACGCCCCGATCTTCGTATAATATTGGTCCTGAGCCGCAAGGTTACACAGAACCTGTTTGCTCACTTGCAAAAGGAAAGTCGGGTTTGCAGCGCAGTGCTTCGTTGAAACAAGGCACCTTCCCCTCCTTGTTGAAAGAGGCTCCTCTGCTTTTTGATTTGCCTGTCTGAGAAAGCAAATCAGGCCACAGTCTCCAAGCACCAAAAGGAAACCCTGCAGGTCAACCCTGCAGATTCTTTGCTGCTTGGTCCTCCAAAAGGCTCCAGATCTGTTCACACACAGCTGCGCAGAGCGAGGCACTGAGGTGAATAAGACATCACAGGAGTAATTGCTGTCGCTTACAAGGGGGGTTGTATCCAAACGGGGCATTAAGAGATATAAGCACAAAGGGCGACATAAAAGGCTGCAATCCCCATGTTCAAAGTGCTGCGGGCAGGTAGGCACGAGGAGGAGGTAGGCAGGTAGGAACGAGGAAGAGGAGGTAGGCAGGCAGGAACGAGGAAGAGGAGCAAGGGCCTTCAGGCCATAGTCATAACAATCTGTCTGTCTAGAAATGAAATGACACGTACACAGAAAATGAAGCACTTTTTCCATTGCTCAGTGGGATGATTCGTCATCTGAAAACCGAAGCAGAGAAACTGGGGCACGGCCTCTTCTGACAACTTTATAAGAGGATTCTGCTCCTTAGAAGGTTTGTTCCGGCCAAGTCAATGGATGAAATACAGATGACACGATCTTGTATCAGACAAAATAGATTTAACAATCTCTTCAAGTTTTCTACATAGGAATTCAATGTCTGGGAATATACCAGAAAGTATAGTGGTTTCACCTAGTAAATCATATAGATATGAAACCAAAAGAGAGAGAAAGAAGCTGCTCGGGGTGCGGGGGTCCCAGCCAGGGCAGGGTTTGAGGGTGCCACCGTCGCTCACAAGGGCCGGCGAGCTGACGCTATGCACTAAATATAGCGGCTTTTTTTAAAGTTGAGCCCTGCTAATCCTGGCTGTTTGAGGCCCAAACCGCGCTGTGCTGCCACTGGCTGCTTCTGGCAACCAACAGTGGTGCTCGTGAGCACAAGGGTTGTGTTCAGACACGGTGACATTCCCGAGCCGCCTCCACGGGGCAAAGCTGCTCCAAGGAGATGAGTGAACCTGCTCCTGGTTCGGAGTGACAGGACTTCACATGGCAGCAGAGGAAGGTGGCAGCAATTTTCCACACTCTGCCCAGCAACCTCTAAGAGYAGCCCAGCCTCCTCCTAGGGAGGGAAATCACCACCATCTCTTGTCCAGATGACTTGATGCAGCTGCACAAAAGCCCCACAGGAGAAGCAGAAACCTATAAAGCTCCTGCATCAGCAGAGAGCTTCTCCACCAGCACACGTTTTGCGGCTGCAGAGTCCTTCTCACCTCTGATTCCCACTGTGCCCTGCAGAAGATGGTTAAAGCCTGGCAAAACCAGGAGGACCTCAGTCATCATCTCAGATGCAGAACCGCAGTCACCCAAACGGAGCAGGGGAACCACTTCCCCTTATCACGGTCAAACCATGCAGTATGATGGAGTCCAGCTCTTGCTGGACACTCTATTTCTTTGATTTTTTTTCTGAAATCAATAAGGTTTCAAGTACAATTTCAACAGTAGCTTGACCTGCTTCTCTCGCCTTGCAGAAGCCTCCACAGCACCCAGATGTGGCCATTTCTACACTGCACTTGGAGACTGAGGCAACCCCTTGGGAAGAGATGACTCTCTTCTCAAGATCTGGATCCCACGGGAKCCAGGTATGTGATCACTTGGGCTTTAACAAAATTACCCCTTCCCTTTCACTAGAGTCCCACATGCACCAACAGCTGGAGGAGGTGGGAAACACCCGCTGCACAGCCAGCACCAGGCACCTGCACCCCAACGTTGGGGCGATGACGGGAATGAGGTGGGTGTCCCCATCTCCACTGCAGCGAGCGCAGCGCTGGGCTGGAGCCCAGCCGGGAACAGGACGAACAGCCCGTTGGAAACAGCACAAAACTGCTCTTCTTCCCGCTCCATTCCAGCTTGTGCCCATTCCCTCTTGTCCTGTCACCGGCCACCACTAAGGATGTGATGAACAACCCTTCAGGTGTTCACTGATAAGACACTGTTAAGACAGACCCCGCTAAGACCCCTGTCCCTAGTCTGCTCCTCTCCAGGGAGGCCAGTCCCGGTCCACTCTGTCTTTCCCCAACTGAGATGTCCCTGTCCCCAGGAGCAGGGAGCTCCTGAATGAAGGAAGCAGGAAGCACTTGGCTGTACTGGTTTTGTCTGGTTACTGGGAAGAGAAAAGCTATGTAGAAGAGAAATGCAAGAGACGTAACATGTTTTGAGTGGTCTACAGCTAAGGAGATGGACAAACCTTCACAACACACTAAGAACAGACCACAACGGAGTCGGTTCACTTTTTGCCTGAAATGCAAAGGATTTCAGTCACCTCTCTTCCAGAAAGTTTTGCTCCACAGAGGGAGCTCCACACAGCTCCCTTTGCTCCACAAAGGGGAAGTTTCCACATCACACACGAGGGAGAAGCAAGGCAGCAAGTTCACGGAGGCAAGCAGGCCAGTGCCTTGATGTGACACGCTGCCTTGATGCTGCCAGTGTCACGAGCCCAGCTCATACACAGCAAGCAGCGGCTTCTTGCGGCCTCTCCTCCTTCGGGCCACCCATCAACCCTAAGCACGCACTGATTTCCTTCCACCTTCTCCTTCCCCAATGTACAGCCAGCAGGATTTTGGTCTCAGTCCCCGCGTGGTTCTCCACCCCGCTTGTCCCCCACTCTGCAGCAGCCACTCTCACCTCAGCTATGGAAAGGGAGGGAAAGGAGGTGAGAGAAGGGGAGGGAAATCATCCCGGTGTGTTTGTGATCCGTCAGGTCCGGAAGCCACTTGACCCAGATAGACCAGAGCTCCCGCTGCGGCGCGGGGCGAGCCTGGCAAGCAAATCAAGCAGGTGGGATGATTGTGGCAGAGAGAGAACAGTAGGAATGGTACAGACCTCTTCCTCCTCAATGCGAGCAGGCTCAATCAGCAGATTATTGGCTTGATCAAACGACACCCCCTGTTAGGACAGGAACCAGCAAAGAGGCATGCGGATTAGTGGAGCATCAACCAAACCCGCCACCACTACCACCACCACCACCCAACACGCAGGGGCGCCGGGCGGGCCGGGCAGGGCCCAGCGGGCCTGGGAGCAGCCAGGCCCRGCCCAGGCCGGCCCGGCCCGGCGAGCAGGGAGCGCCGAGCAGCCTCAGGGTCCTGTGGTGCCGCCYGGCCGCGGTGGCGGGACCCGCTCTCCAACCGCGCTGCTCCCTCACGCAGCCCGCCCGGTGCTGCGGGACCTGCTCCCAACGCGGGAAACCCGAGAAACTCCCTCAAAACCACGTGTCTAGCCTAAGCAAGCCAAGCAGGAGCCCTCTGGCTCCAGGCTCAGCCCCCTGCACGCCCTGCTCCATCTCCTCTTCAACACGCATGCAGCATTTCCTCTTGATGCTGCTGTGCACGGGGACGCTGCTGTCACGCTGCCGTCCCGCAGCAGACGTCCAGCCCGGCCCCGCGAGCAGGACAACTCCTCCGTCCAGGCGGGACTCTTAGGAAAGAGTCCTAAGTGTCTCTGAGGACTCAAAGACCCCAAAGGTGATTTTTTGATAAGGAGATTCCAAGTCTGTGGTCTTGGTATCTACCAAGTGCTCGTGGGTGTTGCAAATGGGGCAATGCACCCTTGGTTAGGAGTCCYGGACTAAAATGAGCATTTTAGGTCAGGACATTTCCCAAGTAATGGCCTCTGATGCAGAGGACTCAAGCTGCCCTCTCATGTTCTTACAAGCAGCAGCAGCAACTTATTTTTACTCTGAAGAACTTCATGGACACCAAGGAAACTGCACATGGTCCCTAGAGAGCACGTGCCAGTGCGGCCACAGCAAGGCAGCCATCCACAGAGGGAGAAGTTCAACACAAACCTGCGTGCAAGAACCTCCCCTGTGTGGTCTGAACAGCTCTGTGGGACGGAGGTGATCCCAACAGCCCCGAGAGGGGCACACAGMAACAACAACCATTACTGCATCATCGTCCACCCGTTTCAGGGACCTGTATCTCATCCATGATCTCCATAGACATCATAGGATGGAGATTCAGCTCCATCCTATTCCTTAACTGGAATTCCAATTAAGCAATCTCATAAAATTACCCGCAACTTCAGCTCCAACAAGAACCAGCCTGACCTCAAGCACTTTCCTCAACAGTAAATTCTTACTCTGCTGTGAGCCTGTTTCCCCAAGCAGAAACCTCCACGTGTCGCTGGTCCAGCCTAGCGATCCAGCCGAGCAAACCCAAGGAGTCAACAGCTCCCAGCACGACCAGAAAGGTTTCCCGGGGCAACGGCAACACTCAGGTGACCGGCGCGCCCAAGCCCTGTGCACTCATCATGAGAATGCACCCGCCTCGGTGCAGGCTCAGCACGGCACGCGCCTTCTGCTCCCGTTGCCCGCTCCTCTCCAGAACAGGAGCTGCAGCAGAGAGGCAGCTGCAAACAGCCTGGGCGCAAACCTGAGGAGATGAGAATCCATCGAGGGACACAGTTCAAACGAGGGGCAACCAGCAGCAAGCGAGGAGGTGATTGCAAGGAGCAAAAGAACCCGTCAGTGACAGGACAGGAGAACTGCTCTTGCAGCACAGAACAAATATCGCACCCAAGTGGGGAGAGCAAGAGTTTGGACACAGCCAAGGAGGCAGAAAGAAGCAACAAAGGAGGCTGCTGGATACCAGCCCCAGAGTGAACTTCAGCTCTCCTCCCTCAACAGGTGCCTCCCGAAGGGCCGGTGCCTCTTGCCAAGTTTTTCATTGGCACCACACGTGGCAGCTCAAAGCAGCAGAAGGGACATCTYGAGCACCCCCTCTCCCACAAGACCTTACCTTCACTGAAGGCTGAGTGGATAAAGCKCCATTCTTGATGTCATCCTCATCCCAAGCTTCCTCCTGCTCCTCAGGCTCCGTGTTGTTATTGCAGCCTCCCAACTCCTCTTCCTCCTTGGGGACTCCATCAGTGTTGAGCCCCTGCAGGAGTGCCACCACTGCCTCTGGCTTGGGCAGTTTAGTTATCTTAAAGTGTTTCTTATAGTGGGGTGTGTCCTTGCGGATAAGCCTCTGTTTCTCCACCGGGAACGGCCGCTCTTCATCCTCATCCTCATCCTCACTCCGTATCAGTGTGTCCTCGGCAAAGTGTACAGTGGGCTGCAAAGGCAAAGCCCCCAAAGGCTGTGAGCCCCAGGGAAGAGCTAAACCTGCGGGCAGCACCAACCTCATCCCTGGGCTGCAGGCACGGGCAGAGCCAGCGCTGCTGCTCCGCACTACAGGAGATGCAGGAACAACCACCACGAACCCCGTAAGAGCTCCCTTGTCCGGCCACGTCTCGTGTCTCTTCCAAGGACTGAGGACACTCGGTCCCGCAGTCCCGATTTTCCCTGCCTGCCTCCCGTGCTATCCCTTCTAGTCACCATGCACCCATCTCCCACAGCCTCCCTGAACATCTACTTGCACTTGGGCATCTGTGGGCCTCATTTTCCCCCCTCAGAGCAACATGGCTCACTCTGAACACTCATTTATCATGTTCACTGAAACATCCAGGTCCTTCTGCTTTTCCATCACGACCCTGCTGCGGCTCCCAGGCTCCTACCTCGTTGTATTCCACTTCTGCATCTTCCTCCTCTTGGTCAGCTGCTTCTTTATGCTCCTCTTCAGGCCTCAGCTTTGCCTCCCTCTCCAGCTCCTGCATCTCGGGCACCTGCCCGTTCGGCCAGCTCCTCTGTCCCTCCTGGCCCTGCTCCTCTCCCCGGAGGTCCGCAGAGGCCGTGCTGTTGGAGAGGTGCGAGTCCTCGCTGCGGTTGGACGTGGCACTCAGCCTCTTCTCCTGCAACAGGACAGGTTGGAAAAGACGAGATGAAGCCAAAGCAGCAGATGGAGCAACATAAGGGGACTGGCACGAGGTGCAATGTGATCCAGTGCCAACAGAACCACCTCTTCCTCCACACCAGCTCCTGCCTCCCCTGCCAAGCCTGCTACTTTTCACCTAGGTCCACCSTAGTTGCACCATCTGCTTGGGCATTTATTCTCAATACCACACCTGGACAGCAAGGTACCCCCTGCAAATACTCCTATCATCTTTATTCAGAATATCAGCCTTCCTTTCCTCCCTCAGCTGCGATAGCATTGGCACTAGTGCACACAGTCACACCCTTCATTGTATCCTGGTTGCACCTCTTGCTCTGTCAGTGACTCCTGCTTCCACCAAATCTTCGTTGCTGTCTTTCCCCCCCAGGATTATTCCTGCCCAGCTGGCACACACTTGTTCCCCGTTCTATAAATCTGTTATGTGCTGCTCTAYGGTTATTGGTTTCGTAGTGAACAGAACTCACTTCTGCCTTAGGAGAATTCSGGTCGGCGTCGGGCTTTGCAGCATAGACCTCGTTGCGCCGCACCTCAATCACCTTCTTCATGACCTTGAGCTCGCTGGGATGAGGGGTTGCTCGGCGCTGCAGGCCCTGCCAAGGAACAACGCTGAGCGCAGGGCACCCCACAAGCAGAGCAGTGCGTGCCATGGCAAGACCCAACTGGGAGCTGAAGTGACAAGCCTGGAGCAGAGCAGTGGGGCTGCAGCTGAGCCCAGCCTAAGTATCACACTGCAGGAGGTGACCCGGCCTCTCCTCTGCTGCAGCCCCAAGCTGGGGAGAGGACAGATGCAGCTGCAGGAAACAGCACTCCTCATTTACTGCATCAGCTCGTTAATAAGGGACCTGGCAGAAGCCATGCARACGGTGTTCAAACTGTGCTCCAGCCTTGGCAAGCACCACGACACAGCCCACYCAAAGAGGGTTCCCTGGAGGAACACGCAGGTGGAACTTCTCCATCCRTCTGGCATTGCTTAAAACGTCCAACACGCTCCTGACTCAGCAGAATTTCTGATACTCCTTTGGCTCCATTCCAGGAGCCAGGAGTCAAACAAAACACTCAGCATTATACAAATAATAACTAAAAAAAAACATTATCCAAAACAGCAGGAAAAAAGATCTCACTGCTGCAAAGAGAAATGCAGCACGGAGACCAGCCTAAATATCTTTTATTAAAAGGACTGAGATCTCAGGATRATCTCTCTGCATGATATGAAAAGAGCAAGAAATTCTGCAGAATGTTTAAACCAAAATGAAGCTTTTATCCTGCCCTTTTGACCCTTAAAGTGCAAAGTAAACCGATCTGCCCAACGCTTTCAGGCTTCCTGTCTACAGTTTTAACGTTTAGCTGCCTAGTTACAGGATACTCCATAGCACGGGACTGCACCTGGTCCCAGGCTTGGAGGGCTGGAGATTGTCTGGGCTGAGTTTGGAGGTGCTGCATTTGCCCAGAGAGGGGTCAGCTCCAAACCGGTACTGACACTGCTGTGACCACCAAGATCCCCGGGAGACCCAGTGCTCCACGGACAAATCGGCAGTCACAGGTCAACTCCCGTCAAGGAGGGTCAAGAGTAAGTCTGCACAAAGACTCCCAGGGCAATCTCTTTTGCATCTGCTTGTCTCCTCAAGGAACTTTTTATCTATCTATCTATCTATATGTATGTATGTATGTATGTATGTATATGCATGTGTATATATATAGAGAGACACATATAATACATACACACACATACAGCACATGCCTGCAGCAAAGTACAGGTGCTATGAGACAGGAACACTATAATAGCTCCTTGCACTAGGAAAAAAACCGTAGATTACCCCCATAATTCTGTAGAAAACAGAATGTGTCTGAAAACAAGTGTCTAGAAATTCTTCTTCTTACCCTCCTCTCRGCTCCAGATTCGTCGTCATCATCCACTTTGGGCTCATCCAGGAACTGAATCACACTGACTCTGTTTAAATTTGTGTCTGTCCAGCTCTCGTCCACACTGTTCTGCAAAAGATTTTCTGCRGAGAAGGATAACAAATTGGGAGCTGCTTTCTGGATGAGCAGAGTTGAGGGCTTGGAGAAAAGACAGTTCTCATCCCATTAGAGCAGTTCTGTCACAACGTGCATGGCCATCCCGCTGCAGAGGCGCTGAGGATACAGGATAAAGCCCCCAGCTCCYGGCACCTCGTGTGTGTCTCCCCAAATGCACAACAGCCTCCACAGAGGGTACTGAGGGGTTCAGGTCTAGCCCACTTTACCCAAGAATTGAAGAGAAAAGGCAGGATTAAGGCACAAAGCAGAAGTGCTGACACAGGAACGTTGTCATGTCAGGAGGCAAACTTCAGAGCCAACCAACTACTCGGTCAACAGTCAGAAGCAGAATACTTGAGACTAGGCTGCAGTGTCCTCACCACCCAGCAGAGGAGCTGATTCTGCTTCTTAACCTCTGCCTTAGCAAGTGCCAACAGCCACTGGGTCCGTTAGAGCTACCACAGTGACCAAGGCCAGGGCAAGGCAGGGAGGAAGGCAACCCTGAGCAATCAGCCAAGGAACCAGGCGGTGGAACCCGGATCCAGATTGCTCCCGGCCTCTTCTCTAGAGCAGAGCGCCCTGCAGAGGACATGGGGTGGCAGCCACCCTTCATAAAGCAGCCTCTTACCTAAGCTGGGAGAGGGTTGCTGCGGAAGCAGGTAACAAGTGAGAACCTTTTCTCCAGTCTTTTCATCATCCTCTGTCTGGAATTTCAGCATGGGCTGGGACTGGTTTTCTGCCAGCCAGAGGGCTTTCAGGTTGAGGTTTGTCAAAGCAAACGGCAAGTTCTGCAGCCTGCAAGAGAAAAGAAGATTCTGGTTAAATTTACTCGCCTGCGAAGGAGCTTCCATGCAACCCCAGACTACATCACCCGTGTGAAGGGAGGACAGAATCCATGAATCCACCGCAGGATCCCCCGCTCCCACGCGCCCTGGAACAGCGGCTCGTGCTGCTTGCAGCTCTACCACATCCAAACCCACAAGGAACCCGCTATAGATGGTGGCAGAGGACAACGATGGAGCAGCAACAACGATGGAAGTGAAAAAGGTGGAAATGAGAAAACTGGAAAAAGGGACCTTCATGGAGCGGGTAGAAAGAGGAAAGGATGATGTTTTCATGGACTGCTTTTCTGAACAGGAGGTCTCATCAGCTTCCAATTTTTGTTAGAAACACAAGCCCCTGCTCACAGGACTGCAGTCCTGCCTTCTCCACCCCACAAATGTAAGTCAAAATACAGATTTTTGTACACAAACAAACAAACAAAAAAGTCTGTATAAATTACAGAATTTTAGCACACAACATTTTTTGCTGGGTGATCTTCAGGCTGTGCTTTGTACTGATACACTATTCAGACTGAATTTTACCCCCTAAGTGCTGACAGCCCCAGTGAGACACCTGAGCAGCACAGAAAATATGAGGAAAATCCCGGTGACACTGGCAAGACAGTGCAGGAGCCGAGCTGGCTGGGGCTGGAGAGARAAGCAAGAGAGTAAGAGCTAGATGTGCCTGGTGCAGCTCTGGGATACCTGGAATGGGGCAAGAGCTGGGGCAGAGCCCCCGTGCCGTGGGCGGGGGAGAAATGGGGGTAAAAGCCTGCSTCGACCCCACAGAACTGCCCCAGCCAGTCTGCTGCTCGGCCCAGGCCGCTGCCCAGGGCTCAACGAGCTCCACACAGAGACACCGAACCAGGAGCCGCTCCGGAGCACCCGTACGGCAGCCGTGAGCTTGAGCAGGGCAGCGGGAGAGGCTTTTCTGGCAGACTGGACCCCTCTGGCAAATTAGAGTGGAAAAGGGCCTAGCAGGCAGAGGCCGAGACCTTTGCCAGAGGTCTAAGATGCCGACTTGGGCCTCTCTGGAACCAGCCCYGATCCAGCGCCTCTCTGGCGCACCGGCACGGCTCTGCTCCTCGTGGACCTCCTGAGGAAGGGGCCTGCAAGCGCGTCCCCGTTCCTCACCTGTTTCCCGCCACGTCCAGCACGTGCAGCTCCGTGGTGTTGGCCAGCTCTGGTGGCAGGAGCACCAGGCGATTGTCTCGCAGGGACAGGACGTTCAAATTGGCGCAGCCGCCGATCTCGGCGGGAAGGGAAGTCAGCCGGTTCCGATCCACGTTCAAGTTAGTCAGCTTGGTCAGCTTCCCAAGGGATTTCGGTAAGGCCTAGGAAGGACAGGGTTCAGTTGTTATGCCAGATAAGAAGATTAGGGAAGGTACAAACCTTCTACCTTCTGAAAAAAGCTGCCTTTCCTTTCTAGACCAGACTGCAGTACAGTTCTCGCTTTAAATGTGGGCCCGACTTCCCTGCAAGCTCACAGCTTGTTACCCATGTAAACGATTCACGTCAGCACAGCACGCTCAGAACACCGCTGGCAAAGACATTCCTGCTCCTCTGGCCCATAAAACACAATATTTGTGTTTTACCAATCAGACTGCAAGCAGCTTAGAGCAGATCCATTTTTAAATTACACTCTGATGTGACCCTTGATCAAAAATCAGCTTTTCAATGTAGTTTTGGTCTCATCATCCTCCATGGACTTCTGGATTCATCCATCCTGGCTACCACAGATAATTTTTCAGCTAATTATCTGGAGAGAACAGCTTCCACCAGCAGGTCTCAGCAGGAAGCTCTGAGCGGGGGRAATCTCTATGGAGCAAAGCAGTCAGAGCACGCTGAAGAACACGGCTCAGGGACCACAGGATGGGACGGGATGCCTGGCGTGCAGCTGGACCGAGGCAGGGGCAGCTACAGGGGTACTCACTGTCAGCACGTTCTCTGTCAAGATGAGCTCTGACAGATTTTCACAGTCTCCAATTGACTCCGTCACCTCTGCCAGCCGGTTCTGGTCCACCTTCAGGATGGAGAGCTGCTTCAGCTGACCTGGCCAGGGCAACAAGCTGGGTGTGAACTAGGTCACAGCGTCAAGACAATGTCCCATGTTCACCTGGCTGAACTGCCTCCCATCAGGGATTATCCAATCTAGCAGACCTGGCACTACCCTTCCACCTCAGTCTTCCTCAGTGCTTCCACCCATGCACAACGCAGGTCGAGAACATCAACTAGTCATGTAGAGTCCTGCCCACCAGCACCTCCTGCAGCCTTCCACAGTGATCATGCCCAGTGAACCCTAACAACCCCTTCCACACACCCTTGCCAAGCCAACAGGAACGCTCTGGGGGGCAGCGGGGGCTCCTGCCCTGGTCACTGCCCCGCAGTACTCACCAATCCCATCGGGAATGCACTCCAGCAGGTTCTGCGACAGCAGCAGGTCTGTCAGTGCCACCAGCCCGCTGATCTCGTTGGGCAACTGCTCCAACTTGTTTTCTGACACGTCCAGACACACCAAGCGGCGCAGGTTGCCCAGCTCCTGGGATGAGAAAGGAGCTGTTGCTCGGCTCAAGGGAGAAGCAGAGGAGGGGAGCGGGGCGAGAGGCCGCAGCCCTGAGCGGGCACTCACCGGAGGCATGGTCGAGAGCTGGTTCCGGTCCAACCAGAGCTCCCGCAGGTTTGGCAACGCTCCCAGAGTATCTGGCTGCAACATCAGCAGAGGGTTAGTGCCAGCAAAGGGGAGAAGCTCCTCTACAGTGCTGCCAATCACCCCAAACCTTGGCAGAGCCCCTCGTTGTCCCAGCTTTCCTACCTCCTGCAACCATCCACCAAACGGTTTATGATACTAACACGTTGATATGTCCAAACACACGTCCACAGTGCAGCAGGACGTATGTGTGGAAGCCTCTGGGATGCCAAACTGCCTGCAGAGGCTCCCAGCAGRACACATGGAAGGCGACAGCAAGGACTGTCTGGTAGCAGCCAGGTAAGAGCTAGAGGGGGGTTGGTCCCTCAGAAGAAATGTGGCTTCTCCTCAGAGGCGTGAATGAAAACATTTAACAGCACTGGCCACTCCAGCATGGTGCACGAACACCACTGGTCATGATGGATGCACATTCATTGCATCCCTATATATTTTGCAGCAAACAATGCATATACTGATTATCATTTAATTTGGGAGTTAATGCTCCACTGAGGTGCAATTCAAGTGTTATAAAACTGTTCCCACAAGCAGCTTGCAGCCTTGGACACGAGAGGCTGCACCAGCTCCATGTCTCCCATTTTAGGCAGCTTTCCACCAAAAAGCGTTCCAGAACATCAGGAGCAGGGTTCGGCAACAACTCAATCCATGGCTACAGAATTAAAGGACACTGCAGGGTGCCCCCGCAAGTCAAGAAGGGCTCAAGATTTCGCCCTGGCTCTCATCACTCTGGGGCTGTGGAGCCTGTCGTGGTGGCCCTGCCATCCCCAGGGGACCCCCCAAGCTCGGCTKACTTCTCCAACAGGATCAACATGGAATGGCCCTGCACTTGCTTTCTAGAGGAGAATTCAAGTCAAAAAGGAGAACGGCAGAAAAAAAGGGCTAGCAGAAATGAAGCAGCAACTGACYGTGGCATAGGGACAAGAGAAGAGAAAGGGAGTAACGAGCTGAGTCTCTGAAGGAGAAAGGATGGATCCTAACGCAGCCAGGGAACGAGGCAGAACATCCCCGAGCAAAAAGCTTGGGGAGACAGAGCGGGTTGAGCGGCAGGACAGTGGGAAGCAAGGTGCAGGGCCACCACGGGACATGCATGTATGGGAACAAGGTCTAGGTGGTAGAGGACAGGCCACGACCTTCCCAAACAGCTTCAGGGTTATTTCCTTGTACTTCAGATCACCTGCTGCCACGGGGGCCCAACCACCCATGTCCCCTCCCCTCTGTCCCTCACCTACCAGTACTTCCAGGTCATTGCCACCAAGATCCAGCTGCTCCAGCTTGACAAGGAATGAGAGTGAACTGCAAGATACAGGGAATAGAGGGGAAGAGAGAGAGATAGAAAGAAAAACAAAGGAAGGTTAGCATCACATATCTCACAAATTACATAACTTTGAATAATTCCTAAGGCAGATGGGGCAGCTTCGACCCTTTTCTAGACCCTCTCAGCTATGCAGTTTAGAGAAGGTGACCCAAGAAGTCCCAAAGGGGTCAGTTTCTCTATTAACACCAACCTGCTCTCTCCCTCCCACCACAAAACACACTTTCTTTGAGCAAACACACAACAGATGACAAACTGCACCTTAAAGTTGCTGCCAGTTTGGGCAGCAAGCAGGGGGACGTGAGCATGGAGCAACAGGAGCGGGTGAGAAGACAACAACACATGATTGGGGCACAAAGTGAGCGTAGATGCAGGGAGAGGAGGGAATGAGCAGACACAGAGCCTGCATCTCCCTATACAGGAGCCTGTGTTCCCAGGAGAAAGGAAAGGCAACGTGGGCACCGCATGAGCCCACCCTGCCCAGGCCAAGGAGAAGACTCAGCGCGGTTCTGAGCACGTACCCAGCATGGGGGCTCCRCAGCTTTGTTCTGTACATAAAGAACTGCTCTCATATAGAAATCACTGCAGTTCTTTGAGAATTACATCTAGGTACTTCCCTCACCCAAACTAACAGGCAACTCTGGTGGGCCCCACACAAGAGATCAATGTCCAGCCTCATGAGTTCTCCACCTCCTGTTCAGCTGGCTGCATCAGAGCCTGACCAAGAGATGCTCCGGCAGGAAGCAGCTTCTGTCCCCGACTCACTGAAACATCTGAAGTGTTTTCCCTTTTCTCCCTTGCCCCTTGTGGGAAAGCCAGCTATCCCACCCCCATCCCATGGAACTGCTCAACCAGGACAACCAGAAAGGACACCCAAGAGGTATTGGAAACAAAATATGCTTTTAACCATATCTGCTCTTCCTCAAGTTTCTAACTTTTTCATATACAGAGTTCTTCCTACACCCACATCAGTACATTCTTCTCTCTTTTTCCCAAACAACCTGTCATTTGCTGCTTTTTGCAAGGGAGAAGGGTGCTCACCACTTCCAGAGGCTGTCTTGGAACCCTATCCACTCCAAATCATCCAGTACAAACTCTAAACGCCCTCCCCCTTCTCCAGTCCTGCACCATCTCTCTCCCTCCTCACCCAAGTCTACCAAAATCCAGCAAGACGCAGTTGCCCCATGCCCTCCCAAGTGCTACGGCCTGCAGCYGAGCAGCATCCAGTCCCAAGGAGCGCAGTCATAACCATCAGTCAGGAGACTCCTGACACCACCACAGACAGACACTCACGTGGGGAGAGTCTTCAGCAGGTTCTCACGCAGCTCCAGGGTCACCAGGTTTGCCAAGCTGCAAAAGAAGGGGGAGCAAGGAAGCCCACCTCACCTCACGGCACGCGGGCGACGGTGGTTTCCTGGTGTAAAGCCACGGGGCAACGAGGCCGTGCCCGAATGCCGGGCACGGGGATGGGTAACGAGTCCCACGTGTGGGAAGCCCCGTCCCACAGCAGGGACGGGGCAGCGGCCGGGCAGAGCCCCGCAGGACCGGCCGTGGCAGCAACCACCCCACGAGCACCAGCACGCGGGACGCGGCTGCTGGGAGGCAGGCAAACGGGAAGAGGAAAAGGGACTCGTATAGGAGGAAAAGGGACTCAGGATTTGTTAGGCCTGGGGCCCCTCCTTGCTGTGCCACAGAGTGCCTGTGCAAGCACCGCCAAGCGCCGCCTTCTCCCTCGGGAGAAGGGGGACAACCTGGGGACGGGGACATAGCTCTAGCTGCGGGGTTATGCAGGGAATTTGGACACAACCAGCAAGCTGAGCAGACTAACTTGAGCAAAATGCTGAACTCGAGGGTCTCCCTAGCCCTCTGGGGGAGGTTTCTGCTCGCTCGGTGGCGATACTCACACCAACAACCGACCTCACGCGAGTGGAAAGTGCCAGAGAGCGGAGCAGAGATCCCAGGGAAGGGATCTCTCCCGGAGGTGCCCATTTACCAGAAGCGAGGCTGGGGAGGTGCACGGACCAGGCTGGGGGGTGCTGGACCAGGCTGGGGAGGTGCTGGACCAGGCGGACGGGGTACACGGACCAGGCTGGGGGGTGCACGGACCAGGCTGGGGAGGTGCTGGACCAGGCTGGGGAGGTGCTGGACCAGACTGGGGGTGCACGGACCAGGCTGGGGAGGTGCTGGACCAGGCTGGGGGGACACGGACCAGGCTAGGGGGGGCACGGACCAGGCTGGGGAGGTGCACGGACCAGGCTGGGGAGGTGC